ATTTCAGCCTCTTGCCCACTCTTCTTTTTCTGAAATGAAAGATATACAGAAAGATCCTTTCTATGCTTCTTTTTCAATCCTACCCATCTGAATGGATGGTGCATGAGAAGCACTAGGTGTTTCCTAACTAAACAACTAGATAACCTCATCAGCTGTGCTGGAAGCAGTTGCACAGTGCTGCAGGCTATGGTGACTTGGAGTAGTGAGGGAACGGCAACAAGGAGCCTGGTACAATGATTCACTGAAACTTACCAGTTTGAGTGTTGCTTGGGTTGCTGTGTCTTTGAGTGGCATGCATTAGTTGTGGTGTCATAGAGCTCAGTTTAGGCTGGTCTGAAGTGCAGCCATGATATTTTGGTATTCAAGGTAAATGCACTAGTTTTATTCCCTTCCCAAATTTCTCAAAAGTCTTTTGCTCTTCTATCTTCTGAGCCTAACAGATCTGCACTCAGATCCACAGCTCTGTATCTCATGCAGCAACAGCAGCAGTACAAGGAGCAGCTGACTGTGATGCTCAGAGTGCATTTGTTTCTGTCTGATGGCCTCTTGGCAGGAAATGTGTTGAGAGGGATTACTTCATGTGATAGGCAATCTCTGGATGCCTCTGAGGAGCTGCACTCCTACTCTGCAGAGAGCTCCTTGAGTTGCTATCCTGTAACTGATAACTACAGTAATTTGTCCAATTGCCCAGAGAGGTGGTGGATCCCAATCCTTGGGGATATTCAGGGCCAGGCTAAATGGAGCTGAGTGACCTAATTTAGATATAAGTTTCCCTGTTCATTGCAGGGGCGTTGGACTAGATGACCTTTAGGAATACCTTCTAACTCAAATGTTCCTATGAAGTTGTTCTGAGCTAATTCTTGAGCTTGCAGTAACTTTGTTCACCAGTAGAGGTCTGTCTTGTCTAGAAGAAATTTGGAGATTTTTATCAGTTAAGATTTAATCAGCATTGGGAGAACCTGAGACACTCTTCAGACTTTGTATGTTTTTGTATCTTGTACGCCAATTTGAACATTTAGGATGATAGCAGCTGATGTTAAAGCGCTACATGCAATTCAATGAACCATGTTAGCCAGTTGTTGGGGAAATTCTGCCAGCCAGATGCAAAATGATGGTCTGGGTGGCTCAATTACCTGCTCTTCAGTCCCTACAGCAGAGAGCAATCAAAAGCCAGAGACCACAGCCAGATTTCTAGGAGTGTGGATGAATAATCAGTGGGAAAAACTACATATGAGATGTTGCAGTCTGTCCTTCTCTTGAAGCTTTTAAGTCAGACTGAGCATTCTCTAAAAAAATACGCTTTCTAGAAAATAGCAAAGCCCTATCTTTTGGGCTTTATTTAGGTGCAAGAGGATGAAAGCACATGGGTCACAGTAGGCAGGAATTGTTATAGTAAGTGATCATAGCTGTTTCTTTCAAGGTTTAAAAAATTTATGCAGTAGTTCTTATTTTTCAACCCGAAACAGTTCTAAGTATTCTTTGTATCTATTTTATCTTTTGAGTCTATGAGTGTAGCAACTCTGAGCAGTTTAAAAACTTTTTCAGGAAACCTCTAAAGACCATAAGGCTCCAAAGTGAGACTTCTGTTACCTGTGACTCATACCTTCTCCAGTACTGGCATCAATATCTATTAAAATATACAAAATCTCCCTTCTTTAACCCTTTGTCCATACTGTGGTGTATGAATATTTCATTTAAAGTGTGACACTGTATTGTATTGAGCTGGCACAGATTTATTTTTTGCTTTTGCTGAAGTTCAATGACCTCAGCCCAAACAAGTCAAAGCTATGACAGCTCCTTCTAATCATCTTGTAAGTTAATCATCCCACAGTTTGGCTAACTACACAGTGTGCAGATGGTTCTCCTGCTCTCTATCTGAACTTAAGATACTCTTGCTCTTGATCAATGTTGATTTCAAAATCCTGTTGTCAAATCCACTCCTAACTTTGCAAAATATATTTGGGGAGAGGAGGGATTGTCTTATTGAAGGCCCTAGTTCACAGATGGACTACTTTCTCCCATTAGCTCTGTAGCTGCAGTTATTTGGGTCCACTGTTCAAAAATTTTTGGAAGGTAAATGTGCAGAATTGTGGTTGGATGAACAGTTGTATTCCCCACTCCTGCTTGTCTTCTGCTTGTGCAATGCAATGGGAGGCACTGGGGACAGAAGGAAGGGAATGGACTGTGACAGCAGAGCTAAGCCATTGTGCTGGCTTTTCCTTTTTTGAAATCCTGTCTTAATTTCCTGACGTTTTGCCTTAGAAATATGTGGTTGAATGATTGAGATGAAATAGCTGTTGAATGTGCTCAGAGGAATGGAGAAAATTTTGTATGAAGAGATGGGGAAAAAAATTTTTTTCTTTTATGCGTTGATCAGTGAAGATCAACTAATTCAAGAAGCAATTTAAATCTCTTTAATTTTCTATACAGATATTTGAAGTGTGCATGAATTGCATGGTAACGTTGAATTACAGGTAGATTTGAATGGATGCTAATAAATGAGAACAGAAATAAGAATGACTTTTTTCCTGAAGGAAATATGTGAAACATTTTCAGCTGTAGGCTCTCTTGCTCTTCTCTGAAGTCTGTAGCTGACTCCCTGCATTAATTAACTGTTTCTAAATGCTCTATAGCTATGAGCAATGCATGGAGGTCATGGATAGAAGAAACTGCTACTGTAAATCTGGAAAAAATCTGCATTTGGATCATCTCTAATCTTAGAATAACTAGACTGCCCAAAAGGATGAACAAGAAGTAAATGCTTGTTAGAACATGCTAATATTCTAACTATATGCTGAGATGAAAGTCTGAATACAATAAGGCATTTGCTTCTGGCAATAGGCTTTTCTGGCTTATGGTGATAAGGAATTATCCACAGTGCGAATTCATCCTCACAGCGCTTATTGTAGCAAGGAAAGAATATGATACAGAAGCCAAACTATTCCCATGCCAGTTTAAGCACCCAGATAATTCATTTGGATCTATTCTGCCTATGGGGAAAGTCAGAATTTTAAAGAACTTGTTCAAAGTCTGTCTTTCTATTGCTGTTGAAAGTTTTAGAGTTTATAGCTAACAATAATTTGGTGATGTGGAATATTCTGGGTTTATCTTTGTGTTCTGTTTCACATGTGAAAGACATAAGGGAAAAAACAGCCCAAAATATAGCAAACCTCTGTAATTCTAGTTTGCAGCCAGGATTTAATGATCTGTTACTCCTTCTGCATATTTACAAGTCCATATTTTTTGTACTGATTTGCAATAAGAAAGGCTTACTGAAAAGCTTCTTAGGAGGCTTTCTTTTTTTCCTTATTTTTCTTGTACTGTACCTTCTGGACAATGACATTTTTGTCTTAACTTGAACCTTGAAAACACTGCTGTCAAGCATTGTCTGAGGTCAGAATCACTATGCCTATGCAAAGGTGGTTAACCTTCTATATTTTTTTGTTTGTTTGTTTGTTGTTGTTTTAGAAAAGGCAGAACTTTGGTTGAATCCTGTAAAACCTTGGCCACAAGATTCCTTAACCTTCTAGGCATAACATTTCAAGACATCAAACTGACTTCTCCTTTTTAAGAAGTTGTATTGCATGGAGCAGTGATAACTTCTCCACTGAGAATTTCTCTAACTGTAGTGTAGCCATACATCTTTACCTTTTTCTTACATTAATTACAAAATGAACTGTCTTAATGCTTTGATTGTAAAGGTTGTACAGTCACTTATTGATGGAGAACATCCTGAAGGTTAATTCTTGGAATGAGGGAAGCTAAGCAGGTTGCATGGAGGAGCAAGATTTGTCATTTCTTTCACTGCATCAAAAACACAGTCCTAAACATCAGACTCCTGGGCATCTGCCTGCATGCAGACAGTTTGGGGAGGTGTGAGGGGATGGGGGTTGGTTACCTGAGAGCTGTTTTTAAGGCTTCAGGAGTGTGCTGGGCAGTGATGCTCGCAGATTAGGGAAAGAGGGAGAACTCTCATGCCAGTTCCTGCAGTCAGCACTTCCTCCACAGATCACTGCGTGTCTAGAGTCAGTTATTTTGGGAAGGGAGAGGGGATTCTGTTGCTCAAGGTTAGTTCTTGATTTGCTACAGATTGTGTTGTACTGCCCAGAATGTAGGCTGTGTCCCATTTTCTGTTTCCTTGTTTCTCCCTCAAGGTGGCTCTGGAGTCAGTGTGTCAGGAGGAAGGGAAAGGAAAGAACGTGTCTTATGCTTCCATATCTTTTTGGGAAGTGGGAGGCAAAAAAAAGTTTCTGCAATGCAATCTTCCCCATCAAGTATAATCAGTCTGTGCTTTTCAGTGCCTATTTAAAAAACAAAACAAAACAAAAACCAGTAGCCTGAAAAGAGTTGTGGCTTCTCTCTTGCTCTAATCACTGGTAAGACAACATCAGCTCTTCTGCAGGGTAAGTCTTATCTTGAACAGACTCACACTAGCCATTTGCCTTGTAAATAAGAGATCTTTTTGCATAGTAGAATAAATTATTTAACTTATTTTTCAGTATGTTTCACCTCAAATTACTGGGGGGAGGAAATTATTATGAAAGCTCCAATTCTGTTGTTTTGAGCTTGCAGATCAGTAGCACTGTGAGCAAAGGTCTTAGGAACCTGATTGCACCATGTGTCCACAGCTGCTGTGCTACCCATTTCTAAGCACAAATATTGAAGGATTCAATCCAGTATCTATTGTTTATTTTGTAAGGGGTGAGCTAGCCAGGAAAAATTCTAGCTTCTAATAACCAATTCTTCTGGTGCACTGTGAATTTATGAATCAAAATAATGTTAGGTTAAAATGAATGACAGTCAGGTGCAAGGACTGATATGTTGTTAGAATCTTTTTTTTTTTTTTAAAAAAAAAAAAAAGCTAGCATACTTTTATTCAATTTGTTCTTTACTCACACTTGCTTTGTATCGCTGACTTAAGGAAGGATGTTTTGTCTTTTCAGTTTTGAGTTACAAAGGAGTGTAGAAAGGTAACTAAAAATAGGGACAGAAAATAGTATCTGCAAAACCCACCTACCTCTTTGCCATCAACCTTAGTGCAACCACAGTGCAGAGCAACACTAGGCTTACAGTAAAATCTGAGCTTTATTTGTACTTTAAATTCTGTAGGGGATGCAATATATTCCAACTCAATATGATGGTGGAATACTTCATGTCTTTTTCAGTCTTGGGTACACGGTTTATGGCTAGCTGGCTGCTTCTAGGGTGCAAATTGCCATCTCCCTGATGGGAGCTGGGATTAGATGAGAGCAGACCTGCCAAGAGCTGTGTAGTTCATCAACAAAGAAGTGCTTTATCAAAACATCTTTCTTACACTGTTTACATTAGAAAGAAGATGTAAGCTTTTGCTGATGAAAGAAGCAAATTTTTGTCTCTAAAAAATAAGTGTATTTTTAAAAATTAAACTGTATGTGAAGCTTCCATAGTGTAAAACAGCACACAGATTCAAAAGGGTGTGTAGCAGTGTCTGGACGTACAGATATCACGTGCATGGGGTTTGGAGAAGGTTTGCTTGCATGCTTATTTCACAGAATCACAGAATTGCAGGGGTTGGAAGGGACCTCCAGAGATCGAGTCCAACCCCCTATGTATTTAATTATACATTTGGTTGAAATGGTTGTGAGTAAACTGAGACTGTTAAGTTTGAGTGTCATGCTGAACAAAAAGCAATTATTAACCATAGAAATCATGGGAGAATTTGGGATATATTCAGACAAACCCAAAAAACTAAAAAGTAATGCTGGGGTCTGTCATGTAATGTTCCCCCCAAAGTACATCTTCTATAGATATGAGTGCAGACTTAAAAATATAGTTAAGTAGTTACAGTATGAAAAACTGCAACCTTAAACTTATCCTGTTTGATTTCAGCATGCTTCTAGGTAATAGTCAAGAAACTAAGAACTAATGTAAACCCTGAAGTTTTGTGTATGTTTGAAATTAAATGTGATATACTTATGGGTAATGCATAGCTAGCATTTTCACCATGTTGTGGCTTCTCAAGGTCTTCCCTGCCTTACACAGTGCATGTTGAGGCTTTTGTAAGAAGTATTTCTTGCTGTTTTATCAAAATTAGACCCAAAGTTATAGGGCGCTTAACACATCATAGAAACAGCCTCTGCCTTATTGCTCACATTCCCTCACTGCCAGCATGAGGACCATTTCTCATCAGAGGACCTGGATTCTTCTCCTTGGCCCAGCCTCTTGAAGGGGCTGCTCTTGGTGCTGTGTGCTCCTCAAAGTTCGTTTGTATGTTTGTCCAGCACTAGGCTGGCCACAGTATCTTCTAACTACTGCTCTCACCAGATCAATTGCTTATGTGGCCCTCTTGGTTTATCTCAGTGGTTACTCTGGATCTGCGTTTTTATCACCACTGCATTTCTCACGATCAATGCTGTTTCACAGCAAGCTATTCTGCACTTGTTGGCTACAAATGCTTACAGTGCTCTGTGATGTTGATGCTAAGGAAAACACGTTCTTGCTGGAGGGTCTTAGATTTTAGTGCTATTATGTGATAAGAGTTTTACCTGCAGAGTACCTCAGAAGGGATAGCTCTGGTCAGCGAAGTAGCTTATTCAGGCTAGATGGAAATAAAGTCATATTAAACTCTGATTCAACTAGCTGCTTCATTGTATGCTCAGTTCTTAAATGCAGGGAATATCCCACTCATAATTGAGAGCGGACTTTTTTTTTAGGTCAGGTTGTCCTACAGAATCCTGCATCATAGGATGCCACTGACCGTGGCAGTGCATCATTGTTGGTATGCTGCTGAGCCCACATCCTCCAAGCCTAGAGGCAAACTCCTCTGGCAGATTCCCAAAGGGGGAGGCAGTGATGCCCATGATCCCTGATTCCTGTGCTACTGAATCAAACACAGCATTTGTGCACTGTATAAAAACCTCTGCATCTATCTGTATACAACACCTTTGCATGTAGTATTTGTTCTCTTTGTACGGGTTTTCTAAAAACCATTCAGAAAAAGCAAGTCTCTGAGGGCTGCGAAGCCAACAAATGACAGGCTTCCCTGCTTCCCTGAGCTGGATGAGTCACAGCAGCTTGTACAACTGACAGGTGCATGGTAGCAAAGTGTGCGCAGCAAGCAGTACAAGGTAGGCTTCTCAGTCCTAAATGCTGAGCTCCTTTCTTCTCCAGCATAGGGTTTTAAAGGAGCAGCCAGGCACCGAGCTCCTGAACACCTCTTTCATTTTTCCTGTAAATCTTTGCCAATTCATAAGCATCTTTTCATAACTTGGCAGATTTTCCGGAGAAAGAGGCAGCACTCAAACCTTTCTCCCTGTGCTGCCACCACAGCCAGGCTCCTGCTGGAGCTAGGTATCTGCATGCAGCTCCTGAGTCGAGTCAAAGATTGGATCCAGTCTAGCTCTTGCCTTTAATCTGCTGCTGGGCAGGGCTGGTGCCTGGTGACGCGGTGAGCTAAGCTGGCTGCAGCGAGTTAATAGAGAAGCAGGAAGGTATCAAAGCCCTGCAGAATGGCTCAAGGTCTTGGAGTATCTGACCTGCACCACACTCCTGAATGCTGAAATAAGATGATAAAGCTGCCTCACAAGAAATTACAGAAGTTTTTCCTTAGAAAGGTAAAATGCTTTTTTTTTTTTTTTTTTGGCTTGCTGCTTTGCCTTTCAAAATTAGATTGATTGACAAAGTTTGACAGTTGCCTTGTTTTTGTGTGCTCAACCTTGTGCTTCCCTTCCCCTGATCTACCTGAAGCTGTTTTCTTGGCTTGTGGTTTGCGATAGGATGGAAATAATTGGAACCACACTTGTACAGCATGCTACACAGGCTAGTTTGATTGCATGTTACAGGTTGTGCTACCTTGCCCTGCTGTGCTGCCTTGTTACCTTGTTTTTTTGACACCCTATGTTTTGAATCTGTCATGTTGAATTTTAGTGCTCCAAGTTTCATTTGCAGTGCAAGAAAAATGCTGCTCATGGAATGATAGCTATTTTGGGGGGATGGGGGTAAGGAATTGAAAGCAGGTATCTGTATATTTTTTACGCTTGCGTGTTTTTTAGTATTTTCAAATATACTCCTGTAACTCAATAAGCACACTATGCTTTCAAACAGTACTATGCTCAAAACTACTTGGGCTGTAGTTTGAAACCATTTCTAGATCGTACTTTAGTTGGCACTATACCCAGCTGGATATTCAGTGCTGTAGTGACTACCAGTTTGAAATAGCATTTCCTAAATATCAGAATTATCTCTGGTTGCTGTTAGTGCTTATATGTAGCCATATCTTGTAGTTAGGAAAATGCATATACTTGTGTTCCTTCCAGCCCTTACTTCTCTTCACTTAGTCTGCGCAGTTTGCATTCCACATAAATCTTCTAACAGCCTGTTTATGCAGTAGGGTTATCTCAGTTTTAGTATGGGGGGGGTGAGGTCTCAATTATAGTGAACTGGGTTCTACACTTTCACCACAAAATACAATTTCAAATATATGGGATTTCTTTCTGATATGTTTTCTCCATAAAATGTTCAATATTTGGCTGTGTTCTAACTAAAAACAATGTTAACAGAGTACAAACAAAGACAGTGATCACATTTTTGTGGTAGTTAGGATCTGTCACATCATTCTCTGATTTTGGCACTTAGAAGGATGCAGATAATTAGCTGTACTACTTATTTTGGAGTTAACCCTAGATTGACTAATCAGACCACAGATATTATTGAAAGTTCTGTTTTCTCCCTCTGATTTACTTGGGCTATAGGCACTAATCTCAAATAATTAGAGGATTAATTAGGTGAAATCCCAATCAACATTAAGTGATGGTTGGGAAGGTTAATGGATATTTGCCTTTTTCCCACCTATGATCCTGTTGGGTTTTCGTTTGTCTTTTTAACATGTTTTCAAGCTTGTGTCCTTTGTTAGATATGTAGTTCAGTTGATGATTGCTTCCTTTACTCGCATAGCAACTGTCCCAGCAATATCTATTTGGGGAAAGTTTAGAAAATGACCTGTATCTCTTTTCTTGTTTTTGTGATTGCAACTGTACAACAGTCTACTTGAGTCCTTGCCTACCTGATAATGGTTCAGAAGTCTATGTGCAGTTAAGTAGCTAAAAGAAAGTGCTTGTAAATTTGCACAAAAAAAGAAAGCCCTAAATTTACAATTTCCTTAGAACGCATAAATAAGCCTTAGAATGCTCCTGTGTCCTCTTGGCAAAAGTATCTACTGAGCAATGACAGCAAATTGATTACAACAGAGTCAAGCTTTTAATGGCTATGTGTGAAAAGTTTTACAATGTAAAACAGTTTGCCCTGAGGAGTATGCCTCCACTAGAAGTTAACGTGGTGTGTTCCAAGCTCACAATATTATTCAGTGGATCTGTATCAAGCATGTTAAGTTTATAAGGTGTCAGAGATTTAGTTGAATTTATCTGCAAGCTCACTCACTTCTGAAATGTAGGTTTTCTGGTTTCTTCTTTATTTAATGTATAAGAGTCTTAGCCCAGATTATTTCTACCTGCACAAATCCAACATTGTCTGCAGCATCTGAGAATGTAACCAACAGGAATTCTGAAGGCAATTCTGTTGGACGTCAGATGCACTGTCTGCTTCTTTTGTTTACTTCTTTGTTCTGAATAATTGCGGCTTTGATTGCAAGCACAATTTGGATGGCACCAGAACATTTAATAATCTCACTGACTCAATAGGAAAATAAAAAGTGAGGGGAAATAGCATTCTAGCAGGAAAATAGATTTTTATTAAGAATGGGTAATCTAGAATTTTGCTGCTTTACAGCAAAATGTAATCTCTGCTAACGAGAGAAGCACTTCAGCAAAACAAATAATGACTTCAGGTGATGCCCTTTTTTATAGTGATCTGGGGTTATAAGATCATGTTTATATATAGTCAAATGCATGTTTGTACCATTTAAGAAAAGTTTTATTTACTCTTTTTCGGTGTTGTGAAAAATTAATTAGTAACGACTGCTGCATTAACAGGATATTACCCTGTTATAGTTTGTGTGAAATCTCTGCCTTTTTTCCATCACTGCCAGCAAAAGTTTCTGTCGTGAGGGAACACGACTGAGTCACTGATAGAAAGTGAAAAGAATGAATGAAAGAAAGTGAAAGAGAAAAGAATGAAAGGCTGAGTAGCTCCAAAGGAATCTGAGAGAGAACAGATCTTTTAGACTTTTCTCTGCCTTCACATATATGTGTGTCATACCTATGGGCAAGGTATTTATAATCTTTATGATGTTCTTGGTGTTAATCTTAATGTAAAGCAATGCATTTCACGTGTCTAATAGTTTTCTTCATTATATGCTGTATCTTGTAAGGCAGTCTTGTTACTCTGGATCTGGGCAGCTCCTTACTCTATGAATTGCAGCTGGCTATTTGCAGGGTTCTGATATAGGCAAGATAAGAAAATGATTTGGTATGTACAGCAGTCTGCATGTGTAGGAATCACCTGCTTTGTCTATGCCAAGAGTTGGCCCCGATTCTGCATCATCTTCCAGTTGTCAATTAGTAACAGAACAACTGATCTTTCAAAAGTGTCAGCTGTATCTCTATATAGAAGCAATGTTAAGGTTGAATATTATAAAGCACTTTTGCATTTAAATTGCTTGATTTGTTAAAAAGAAATGAATACTATGAATTAATCTTTCAGGATCGTATTCTATTCCACCTCTATTCAAGAGTAGTTGGTGTCAGAGTTGCAAAGGGGTGTTTTAGTTGAGGGAACTGGAGAGAAGGGCTTGTTTCTGAATTAAGCAAAGTATATACTTCTCACCTTGCTGCCTAAAATAGCTGAACCAGTCAAGCTTGTGAGTTTGCAAAAGAATAGAGGCCAGGGTAGGCTTCTGATGTAGACTTCAGTCTAAATAGACTTGATTTGGTAGAAACAGGAGCAACTGAAGCATAATTCTGTGATGGGGATGCATCAGCAAATTCCACAGAAGGTGGTGCTTGTGGGGCTGGTATGGGAACCGCCATACTGAAGTAGAACAAAATGGACCTGTAGGGGGACATATGCCCTTCTTGATTCCTTATTTTTCCAACTTGAGTGTATTTTGAGCAATGCTGTGCCAAATTCCGCAGGCACAAATGAGACTTAAACACTACCACTATGTTGGCGCTTGCACTACAGTCATTGGGATGGGTACTGTTATGCAAGGGTTGTGTAACTGGATTGCACGCATCTTGCAAATGAAGACTAAGCCCTACTGACAACTCATTATATATGATTAATTTGAGCCAATGCAGCCTGGGTGGAGTTCTTGGTGTTTTATTTCCCATGCATGGTATGGCAATCATTTCACAGTTAAGGAACAAATAGGGGGCCAAGCACTTAGTTATGCCTTTATTTGAAGGGGCAAAAAATAGGCTCCTTTTTTAACCATCAAGGTGCTCTTACTGAGAGATTTGGATTGAATAGCAGCAGTTATGTGGAATGGATTTGTATGTAATTTATTTATTAGTAATGTGAAACTCCTTGAATTTCTCATGAATTAAGGAGGTTAAATAACAGCTGTACTTTCATGGGTCAAAAGGCTCAGTGGAGCTGAGTCATGGTTTTATATTGGCAGGCTTCCTTCTTTCCATATTTTCTAAACAAATGAAAAACAACCTTCTTTGATGTACCTCTTGTCCTTATAGTCCTTATATAAAATTGCTTATATGAATCCTAACTCTGTCTTGATGCTTCAATAAGCTGTTAATAAAGTGTAGGATATATCCTCGCTAGCTCTATAAGACAGAGTAAAGGCATTTCCCCTGTCCATGACCCATCATCACCATATCAGAGCACTGGAGGAGATGCTGGGGAGATGTGTGCTATGCTGTACGTGGTTGTGTTAAACAGTCCTGTTTTTTTGCTCTGACTGGGGATAAAGGACCTCTTGATCTGTTTCTGGAGACTAATGCATGTGCTGTGGCAGATGACTGGGCACCGG